AGCTGGCGCGTTGCACAATCCAAAAGGCATGACGGTAAATTGCCACAGTCCGGAGCCCACCGAGAACGCTGTCTTCTCTCTGTCTTTCGGCGCCATGTCGACTTGCCAATATCCACTCTTCAGATCTAACGTAGAGAATATCGTTGACCCCGCCAGTGTGTCTAGAGTATCGTCTATCCTCGGCAGGGGATAGCTATCCTTCTTGGTACCATTATTGAGCTGCCGATAATCAACACAGAATCTGGTGGTACCGTCTTTCTTCTTTACTAGTACTACCGGCGATGTCCACGGGCTGTTAGATGGTTCGATGACACCCTCTTCTTTCATTTCTCGAAGGATTTTATCAGCTTCTTCACGTTTGGCGAGCGGAAGTCTTCTCGGATTTTGTTTGATTGGTCGTGCATCTCCGGTATCAATTTTATGTTGTACTAAATTGGTACGACCTCTGTGTCCTGCTTCTCCTTTATCAAACACATCTTGATACTTGATTATCAGGTTTCCCAATTTTCTACTATTTTCGGGAGATAATCCCTTAACGTTTACTAACTCCTTCACCATTTTGTCCGGAATTTTTGAAGTCGAAACTTTGGAGGCTTCCACGCTTCGAATGACTGAGGAGACCGAACAACAGTACCCTAACAGGGTTCCCTTCTTCAAGGATACAGAATAATAATTCGTATTCATTACTCTCACCGGTACAGTTTTCTTCGCTCGTAGCAGGGCTTTTCCAACAGCGATCCCTCGTCCTATTTCGCTGTCATGGTTCCTTGGCTCCAACAGAATAATACTCCCATTATTCATTTTACCTTCCAGGCAACCATCCAAAAATACCTCACAGCGCTCAGGGATCGAAACATCTTCTGCTACTACCACGCGAAGCGTCTCCTCACATTTTCGATGTAGAACCACTTATTCCTCATTTATTTTCAAAATTCCCTCTTTGAAGTTTAGGTCAAAACCTTTAGTGGTCATGATGTTCATTCCGAGAATAAGTTCATCTTCGATATCTGCTACTAACACTGGATGTTCAAAACTGGTGCTCCCAATAACAAAATTAAGATTTACTTCTCCATGGACAGCAGCGGAGCCCCCCGTAGCAGTACGTAGTCGCCATTGTGTTGTTTTAACCTTCTTCGATGTTTAAGAATGTCCGGTCTGATGATAGTTTTCGTCGCACCTGTATCCAACAGCATGGTCCGGAACTCTCCATCAACAAAACCATCCACAAAAATGCTGTTGAATTTGTGTTGTAGCGAGGCGACTTGAGCAGTTTTCGTTGGGGCATGTTGGGTACAGGTCGACGTGTGCCCCTTTATTTCGACCCTTAGTAGTTTTCCGACCTCGACGGAGCCGGTTCTTCGTTCTTCTCCTTACAACGGCTTCGCACGTGTCCTACCTGTCCGCAGTTCCAGCAACGTATCGGTCCCTTCTTGCCCATATACTGGTCCATTATCTTCCGAACAATCCCTTCCACGGATTCGTCGGAACATTCGTCGATGGCCCGTACTCTTCCTAAAGACCGAGAACTTTGTTTCGCGGCCTCAAATTCTAGGGCACGTGCTAAAGCATCCACCAAGTGCGTTGGGTGGGTTAGGAGAAGTGCTTGTCTTGTCTCGTTGTCACGTAAGCCGTCGGAGAATGCCTGTACTGCCAACCGCTCCATTACATTCTCGGGCGTAGCAGGGTACGCAAGGCGAACGAGGCGGGCTACGTCGGCTTCAAACTCCTGCAGAGACTCATTTGACTTTTGAATGCGATTTTTTAGCTGGGAATGATAGACATGTTCCCAAATGAGCTTGGCCGTACCTCATTTCTAAATGTCGTACCAATTGCTGATAATCTCCCTGTTCCGATGGTGACAGTGTCTGCAGGATATCAGTCGCATCTCCCTCGCAGTGCGACAGTCAAAGCGGTAGCCTTTTTTCAGCGATTGTCCATCCGTTCGCTCTCGCAGCGGCCTCAAACTGGCAAAAATAATTGGCCCAAGCGGTTTTTCCGTCAAACTGTGGAGGTTTTATAACTGATTTTGAGGCATACCTATTTTCGACTAGTTTCGGTCCCTCCGATGTTTCTTGACATTTTGGTGAATTTGCCTTTGCTATTTCTTGTTTTAAAATTTCGATTTTTCTATTTACATCTTCCTCAATCTCTGTTATTTTATTGTTAAAACTTTCTTCCAAAATTACTATTTTATTATTAAAGCTGGCCTGTATATCTTTAGAATTTTCGATGATCTTATCTTCTAATGTATTGATTAAATCCTGGGAATATTCCATAATTTTATCACTGATTTTCTCTTCTAAATTAAATTCCAAGTCAATTATTTTACTATTCAAATTGTTCAAGCTGTCGTCTAATTTTTGAGAATTCTCTGTCATTCTATTTTCTAATTTTTGTAGGCACGAGTCAAGGTCACCTTCCAACTCAAAGCAAAATGTGTCAGGATCCTCACCTTCCTCAATCAAAACGTCTCTCAGTCTGGCTTGCAAAATGCTTTTCTTTCCATCTGTCTCGCACTCTCTCTCTTCCAATATACATTTCAGTTCGGACACTTTCAAGTCTTTCAACAATTTTTTCAGAGCCATGGTCAGTCTTTTTATTTTTCTTGTCTATCACACACGCCACACTTGACACCAATTGTTACGTTTTTCGTCGGTTCCGTGTGGATAGAAAGTCACAATTTATTTAAACACTATTTATTTAACACTAATTAACAATAACAATAACGATAAAAGACTTATAGAACTATTTACAAACGATTTATTTTTGAATTTTGGCGCGTCAACTGCACTGGTATATTTATAACTGCCCTCTCTAGGCCACTGCCGCCGGCTTTTATACCGACAGGTAAAAGAAATCTAGAATAGTCCAAAGATCGTTAGGCGCATAGAGAAGGTTTTCGAATGTTCTCGTATGTACTAGTCCATTCTAGTGGGTCTCGATTCTTCTCGAACGAATGAATCATTGCGGTGTCTATGCGATGTTAAGGTCATCCGAGGGCGGGCCATATTGTGAGGTTAGGTCGAGTCCACACCGGCCCGCAACAATACAAATACACAGGTTTAAATAGGGAGTAGGTATACGAAAATTTTATTATTTAATTATTCTAAAAATGTTAGGAAGTATAATTTGTGAAAATTCTAAAAATAAAAATAAAAAAGTAAATATTTTGATATCTTCAGAAGGTCTAACTTGTATTATAATTTACTATTCCAGTTAAAAAAAGCTTTTTAGATTAGTTCAACTACGGTAGCGAGCATAGTTTTAATCACCGGTTTTGCTAGTGAGGCATAATTGGAGCTATTTCGGCTATAACGAAATTAGGTAAGGTACATAATTATAATTTTAGAAGATGTTCATAAAACATTTAATATTTAATCTCTAGTTGATTAAAAAAATATACCATTAATATTGCAATTGCTTTGTTTACTCACTTGTTTCGTCGAACTGCTTCAATTCATTTTCGAAGCTATAAAATGTTGTTTCGGGAGACTTGAATATCCGGGAAAGTTGAGTTATTGCATGTTATTGTTATTGCACCCAACAACGCCTTAATTATGCTCTCCTTTACGTGTTAACATTTTTTCGGTAATTTTATTTTAGAAATTGTCACAACACGACACGACGCGACGCCTTGTTCGAATCCTTTTTCGCTTATTTTTTACTACCGAAACAGCGTTACATCACACAAACCTCGTACCAGAGTGTTTTATAGTTTCAATAACTGCACTAGCAAAGAAACAAAATACTTAAATATTATGACAAAACCACGATTTCAATATTATTTCAATGCGATCAACATGACGGCGCAGCCGGCGCGGTGGCGTGGACTATGTATTGATAATTTCAGATTTTTTACACTGAAGCGCTGCGGTCGGAATTTGTTGAAATCAACTGAAATGCACCAAGCCTATACCTAGATATTATTAGAAAACAATGATCGCCATATCGTGCTGAAATATCTTTCACCATGATATTTCAGGATGTATTTACTTAAATAAATAAAATATCTTCTACAAACGATAAATGCTGTTTCACATGGAGCGGACCGTCCGCGCAGACTGTCGTGTGTATTTTTAAAGTCCGACGGAGTACTTTCACCTGTAAACCCATCCGTTGGCTGAACAAATATCATAAGTTTATATGAATATTTTCATCACATGGGCGCGGATGATCTCGGACGAAATCATTCGGACGGATCATCCGCGCCTATGTGAAAATACTCATATAAACTCATGGTACTTGTTCAAACAACGGACGGTCCGCGCGGACGGTCTGCTCCATGTGAAACGGCACAAAAGGGACGATCAGCGCAGACTCACCTATTGTTAAACAATATGTTTTTTTTATTAAAAAAATGCATTTCACTGATAAGTGTAAACAAAAACTGAGTTTTTTTCAGTAGGAGGACAAAAAGATCTTTACAAAATGCAGTTATTACACCCAGACAAAAATGATATATGTACCTACTCAAAAAAGTCAAATATTCAAATAATTATACCTGAATTTATACCCTTATATACAGACAAGGATTATACCTACTAATAACTCGGCAATAACTAAATTGTCTCGGGAAAAAAATACTGATCTTGATAAGCAACGAAAACAATTATTGACAAAGTCTCTCTATTACTTTGATTGCATGAAATTATATACATAGTTATTGCAAGATCATCGTCTTTTACCTTTTTATAATTTACGAGCTGTAACAGAAATGTAGTTAACTGTTATCGCCTGCGGTGTAAAGGTCGTTTATAGGACGTCCAAATTTCGAGTGTTATTTTAAATAGTTAATTCCGCTGATAACCTTTTAACACGACTACGTATTCGTACAGATATAATTCCACTTACTTTATCATCTTCCACTTTCAGCATCTCGATCGATTAGGTAGGTGATTTCAATACACCGGCACAAAACGCTAAAATGCAAAGTCGATTTTGTTTTGTTATATTACAGGAGCCAAAAAAAACAGAGGTCAATTCGACTTATTCTACCAACCAGCACGCTTGCGCCTCGTTTGACCAAAGGCGTAGTAAAGATGCCAGGCCGTCACCTAAACCTACCTTATTTTATCAAAGGTGAAGTTGTAAAAGGGTTTGGCAGAGGTTCAAAGGATTTGGGATGTCCTACAGCAAATTTTCCTGAAGATGTCATTCATAAACTACCCGAGGATTTAAATACAGGGGTTTATTTTGGGTTCGCTCAAGTAGACAAAGGCGAAGTCCACAAAATGGTGATGAGTGTGGGATGGAACCCCTTCTACAATAACACAAAAAAATCAATGGAAACTCATATCTTACACAAATTTGAATCGGACTTCTATGGAAAAGAACTGAGGGTAGTTATTCTACAATATTTACGACCAGAAAAGAATTTTTCATCATTAGAGGAGCTCGTTAAAGCCATCGACGACGATATCAAAGAAGCTAAATTAGCTTTAGATAAACAAGACTTCGCATTGTACAAAACTAACGAGTTTTTCTCATAATATATAAATATATTTTTTAATTATATTATTTTTAAATAATTAAAATACAGTATTAACAAATTTTAATTACGGATTCTATTACGCAATGTTGTAAATATTTGAATAAATATTTAATACTTTTAGACCTTGGAGAAATTAATCCTAATTCAAAATGTATAAAGTTCTTTTTCTAGTGAATATAAAAGTAATTGTTATTATTTAATTAAACCAGATTCAGATTATATCATATCTGTGTACCAGATAAACGCTTGTTTATTGTTATACCTTTTGAATATAATACCAGAATTAGGGAAGCTAATTTTTAAGCCCATCGTAATCAGGATGCCATAATTTCTGCTATAATCTATAATATAAAATGGCACAGTAACAAATATGCCAATCTGTTTTTAAGCAATTAGGATTTTTCGAAGTTTTTTTCCATACTCATGGCACCTATAGTTTGTTCCTTCTAAATTTTTTCTATGCAAATGCGCAACCAGACATACACCAAATGGTAATTATATTATAGGCATGTTAAAATATGAGGTTATATTTTAAATTCCATTTAATTTATTAATAAATTGAGTATTTATGGCCTTACGCAGGATAGTAACTAATTTAAACAAACAAATTTTTCAGGTAACTAATCCATATACCGTATTGTCCTTGTACAATATTATAAGTTTTATTTTAGGAGAAAAATAATGTAGGCCTTCTATCACCTCTTCTGATAAATGTAAATGCTCAAATCGTAAGACACCGTAGAACTAAGCATGTCAACCCGAAATGGAAGACGTTGAGACGAGTTAAAATCTTCAAAGTCGATGTACCCAATTTTAGGGAAAATCCTGATGATCTGTCGGAGGAGGAATTGAGATCAAGGATGAAAGAACACGGGATATTGCCTGCTAGACCATGGATGGAAACCGAGTATTATATTAGTTCTACTGGGGCTGTTTTTGAGGGGTATATTCCCCCAGAAGGTGATGGTAAAGTATCACCAGTTTCAACGCAAGTAAGTTAATTTTTAATACAATATTATGACATGTGAATGAGTGATATTTTTTCTAGGGTGCTAAGCAAAGTTTACAATTTCTTGAAAAAAAAACTAAAACTATGTTGTCTATAAGAAAAATAAAACAATTTGATGAAGATTTTGAGACTAAGGAGTTTTGTAAACATGCTACAGATATTTACTTGAAAATGCACGAGGCTATGGCTGCTGGAGATAAAGATGGTTTAATTCAATATGTCACAGAAAGAGCTTATCCTGAAGTTATACATAATATTCAGAACAAATCTATTCGATGGAAATATATTAAAGATATTGAACTGCCAAGAATTGTACATGCCAGGCATACGGATGTTGTAACAAAAGAAAATATCTTTGCACAAGTTACTGTAAGGTTTCATACACAACAAGTAAGTAAATAAGTATCCTGCTAAATAATAGGTATTATATGTTACTGTGTATATTAAAACTTTTAGGTGCTAGCAATATATGATCGGTTTGGTAGATTGATGCATGGAAGTGAGATTTTGGCAAAAGATGTTTTGGAATATGTGGTATTTGAAAAGCACATGTCTAATGAGTATGGCTTATGGAGAGTACATGCTAAAATAATTCCAACATGGGCACCACCTAAAGAACCTTCTAAAACAACTTTCAGAAAACAAATTGAAGTTAGCGTAGATACCAGTGTTATTCCTCATGATAATGAACGACCGAAGGAAAAAAATACTGTGTCAGAATAAATATAAACATTATCTTTTAGTCTAGAAAATAAAGTATAAAAAAAATCAAAAAAATCAATAGAAGTAAAACTTTTATTATTAATACATTTTCATAATACTCTGTTAGTCAAAAATACAAAACCCATATAAATAAATATTTGCACACAATAAACTTATCACAAAAACTCATTTACACAAAGCTGCTTGAAGGTTGTTCGAGAAACATTTCTGAATGTTTCCCTAAAGGTACATCTTTGGCTTTATAAAAGCCACTTTGGCCCCAATTCGGAGGCTTAATAGGTACTATTTTGGGTTTAGGCGGTAGTGGTGGCGGGTCGGATTTAGGGGCTCCACTATCTCCTTCGACCTTTGCACTTTTCACTGGACTTTGCCTTTTCACTGGACTGGTTTTTGCTGGAATTTTTACGTTTTGGTTTTCATAATTATGGCTCTGGTCATTTTGTTTTGGATTCCTGGCATGGTTTGCTTTTGTTTGAGGGTCTTGAGGACCTGGATTTGAGGAGTTAGTTCGGTCATCTTCTTTGTCTTTTAGAAAATCAGGTAGTTCAAAGTTGATTTCAGTACCTCGTTGGTCCTCTAGACGTCTTTGGGCTCTAGTAAGACCCTCCACTAATTCTGGAATAGAAAATTAAGATATAGTTAATTTTGCTATATCAAAAAGTGCAAAAAATACCGCATGATCGAAAAAAAAAACGGCGTGTTGGTTTGGAAATGAGGATGGATGACATTCGCATATCAGTGGCGGCTCGTGACCCGTGTGAGGTAGGCGACAAAATTTTAGTTGCGTCTATTTGCCCCCTCCCCCCCTCCCTAATTTACATAATACCCTAGCCCAGTTTATAAATATATGTTATCTCTGGGTCTAAAACATAGCTAAAAAATATTTAGGACAAAACTAAAGCAAAAATAACAGCATTCAACGTAATAACATAATGAATGACATAAGGTACAAGTATAGTTTTTATTAATCTATTTTATCTATTATTTTTTTATGGAGTACATCATAGAATTTTATTTTATTTTTATTTATTTACGCAAACAGAATAATTATGTTTTATATATTAAATTGAGAAGTCGGTCTCTTAATAAAGAAAAGTTATTTATTATTATATCAGTAAAATCATCAGATTGTTGAAGAGCTGTGAAAAGATCTGTTTAGATTGAAAGTAAGGCCAAGTGGCTATAAACGTTTATTTTTCATGGCATCTCTACTATAAATTTTAATGCATTTCAAATATGAAAAATGTCTCTCAACCCAAGTACTTGTAAATGGTGTAGTAACAAACAAAACAAACAATTTGAAAGCCTCTGGAAATATATTTCCAGGATTATTCTCCTTAAATTATTTTATGCTCGAAATTATCATATCTATTATTAATACCTACAATTTTTTCATTAATTTATGTTGGTCAATAACATTTTTTGTTTGTTAAATCACTATTAAATGCGTTAAACTTGGAAATGCGAAAGCGACCGGAGATTTCGCCTAAGCCCCGCCTTAATATGATACAACTCCGACTTACGTCGCGTCGCTACCGCATGATGAGTTAGAGACAGAAGACTGCCGTACGTCGTGCATCGACTCTGATAGTAGGCGATGTAGAAATCGCCGAACAAAGGCACTCCAACGGTCAAAATTATTTTGTTTTCTCGCAGCGGCAGCGGCAGTCAGCGTACGCCAGCGGTAGTGAATATGTTAATATACAAGACCACAAATATTAAAATAATATTTATTATTAAAACACACTTCCGTGTATTAACATTATTTTTATATATGGGCAACATTAATAGTAAATAATGTAATGTAATAAATCGCTTAAATTCTGCCAAAATCTTAGGGTAGGCGCCGCCTACCTTGCCTACCCTGACGAGCCGCCACTGTCCCATATAATTTTAGTATTGTTGAAACGATTACTGTTAAACGATTACGATTGCGATTACGATTAAAACCGAAATAATCGTACGATTACGATTATCAAGTAAAAAACGAAGAAATGTACATTTCATATAATTTATAAAAGAAACTAACGAAAATAGATACAAACTGAAAATAAAATATAGGTTCAGAACAAACACATTTAAAATCTAAGATAAACAAGCAAAATTAAGTACCAGGCCTATTTTTGGTATAACATAATATAATTTAATATTGAAAATTAGAAGATATTAAATTCTTATTAAGAAAACATAACATTTTTAAGTTTTCAGAACCCAATCGATTTTTTCTCGGAGTTTGAATGTTTCCTGCTGTAGAAAACAATCTTTCTGACTGGACAGAGGATGGTTGGAATGACAAATATTTCTGTGCCAACTTCTTAAGGTATGGATACAAAGAGTTTTCAGACCAGTACTTGAAGAAAAGCTATTGCAAAATAAAACAACTCCATAATACCTATGTTTGCGCGGTGAAACCCTTGATATATGATTTAAAACTAAAACCACAGACAATCGTTTTTGCCTATACAGCTGTACGCCCGCGCCGCCGCCGTAACACAGTCATAATAATCGATATTTTCGCATTCCTCGCGTCGAGGTGTCCTAGCGCATGGCGGAGTTACCGGGGAATTACCAGTGGTTTTAAAACTTTTCATATTACAATAATCGTATCAATAATCGTATAAAAATCGGCGGTTACGATTATCGGAAAAATCTAATAATCGGTGGTTAATCGGAATCGGAATCGATTCAACACTAAATTTTAGATATAAAATGATAGGGATGGGCATTTCCTAGCCATCGCTAACGCCGTTTTTTTCGATCATATTGTATTTTATAGCAAAATGTAGGTTTAAAAATGCTCAATAACCACTAAGCTAGAGAGACATTATAGAGAAATAAAGAAGTGTTTTGAGAATGTGTTGGGTAAGAATAAGGACATGTTCACATTGGCATCGCTCGAGCGGCATCGAGCAAAGCTCACTAGCCGAGCGATGGAGCGAATCGGAATCGTTTCAACACTAAATTTTAGATATAAAATGATAGGGATGGGCATTTCGTAGCCATCGCTAACGCCGTTTTTAGTTTGAGGACTAATAACTTTTCGTCTGTACCTGTATAAAACTACTGAATCAAGGAATATACATTTACGACGTTTTTTACGTAAAAAAGGTCTCTTGGTTAAAATTGCTACGAGTAACCGTTCTCAATATATTTAGAATGGAAATAGTCAGTACATGTCATTATTGACAAAAAATAAACACGTTGAGTAGATAGTTACCTATTTGACTGAAATGATAAATTTGGGAACTTTTTTAATTTTTTTAAATTAATCATAAATTTTTCTTCGAAAACATTATAAAACAGTTTCTGTTGAACTTTTGGTACAAAAACATTTCAAATTTGTGATTTCAGTCTAATAACTATTTAGTCAACATGTTTAATAATTTATGTCAATGATGACAGGTATTGATAATTTAGATTCCAAATATCTCGAGAACCATCACTCGTAGCGATTTTTACCAAGAGACTTTTTTTACGTAAAAAACGTCGTATATGTATATTCTTTTACTCAATAGTTTTGTACAGGTACGGACGAAAAGTTATTAGTCTTCAAACCAGTAAAAAAATATGTAGGTGGCGCCCTCTACAAATAGGAGTCATATTGACATGAAAATTTAATTTCTCGTGTGAAAAAACTCCCAAACAACAATTTTCATCCAAATAGTGACGTTAATTATTTGAAAAAAATCGAAATAAAAATGAAACTTCTAACGAAAAACGGAACGAATCTCTTCCAAACGAAGTATTTTGGGACATACATTTATACGAAATTTTGTACATATTTTTATCTGCAGAATATGCTGCCGAAGTTTCTAGAATACGGTTCGAACCACCCTGTATAGGTACGGCGGTGAACGTGAAGGCGTTGGTGTGTGCTAGAATGATAGCTTATATTATCGCTGCCCTGATCCCAACATTGGGATTCCTCAGGGCTGAATCTCAATGTTGGAATTCCTCAGGTTTCACCGTTGCCCTTAACCTTAACCCTATTTTCTGAGTACACCTCTCGGCTGCGTTCAGATATTCAGGGTAGATACACTCCCTAAAATAAAGAATATTCTTAATATAGTGGAATAGTGGAACAAAAACAAACAATAAAGTTGTTCTATCACGCCCAGATTGTTGTTCTTAATACCTGAACGCAGCCCAGCAGTTCCACATTTCTTGGGGAAAAAACTTACCGTCACTTTCACTACTAGCTCCTACATGCAACTTGTTAGCACCAGCTTTCAATTTAGCTATTAAAGGCTTCTTTTGACAACCCTCTCCACTCGTGTCTTCGATTTCTGTCGTTTTCACCCTACTGGAGGCTACAGGCTTCTTTTTCTTTTCGTGAACAGCAGAATCTCTTCTTAAAAACTTCCCAAAGAGCCCAGAGGAATGTTCAGAGCCCCAATCTTCGCTTTTTACTGAACCCCTATCTGATCTCGGCGGTTTAAAGACACCCTCATCAGATTTTTCTTGCAGGATGCCTTCGAATACTTTATTGGTAATCTCGTCTAACTTGCTGATTTTCATGTTGTTAGTTTTCACGGACTGATTAGCGCTCCCCTCACAACCATCTGTCAAAAAATAAGAATTTTATAGTAATTTACATTACAAAGGTTTGTAATGAATGAGTAATAAGTTATTATTACGTACCTTTCAATTGAATGTTCAATCTGGCGTTGTCTATCGTAGTAACTGACAAATTGATATCAACAGGATAGCCAGCTTTACTGACAGTGACATCTTCCAAGCTGAATTTGTACTTGTGCAAAATCGGTCTCAACACGTCGACTATATTCTTCGTGTATTTCGATTTGACAGATATTATTTTCTTGTTAGGCAAATCTAACTTAAACACGACCCTTTGTTCCACCGTGACTTCACAACCTGCTAGCTGAGTTGAATTTTCTGCAATATCCAAAGGCTAAAAGAATAAGACACCAATTATATTAGAAATGCAGGTAAGTGTAATGGATATGCTCCATCATTCATTATCCTGTTTAATAGTAATTACCTTTGGATGCTTATTGGTCAAAACCTCAAAAGAAGAATAACTAAGGCCTCTTTTTTCCAATAATCTGCTGACTAGTTGCGAAATAGTTTCGTTCTCCTTGATCTGAACCACTGTAGTACTGCCATTGCTCAAAAGTACTCTGCACAGCAATGTCCGTGAATCACTGGATGAATCAGCCTTGAAAAGGTCCTAGGAAAAATATTTTATCATTGATTGATAGAATTAGGAAGATACCCAACCTAATGGGCAAATTCGTGACAAGGACTGTAAGGTGAAGCTTCTACACGTTCTGCGCCCAACGCATATAACACTCATTTTTTCTAATTCGGCTAGCGAAGGCATATCGAAGACGGTGTGAAACTGAAAGCAACAGTGTTGCCATATTAAAATGTGTAAATTTGTAATATGTTTGACGAAAATATCTTTGGATAAAAAACGTTTATGTATTGAAAATGTATTCATGCTAAACATAGAATAAACAACAAAAATAAAAATTCTTTTATAGGTACTGAATATTTCGTATGATCGAAAAAATTCGTGCCATGAACTTTGGTACGGCTGATGTCGAGGATGAAGAGCTGGCCTCGGTGGAGCCGTCTCAGATACAGGCTTTTGTTAAAGCCCTGATACTGTATCATGAGTTGTAACTCGTTACTAACTCAAGAAAGGGGAACACACAATAGATCTGTAAGGTCGCGGTGATTAATTCCCCTCCTAAACATTCTACAATCATCATGATCGAAAAAAGTCGTTTAGTTGGCTAGGAATTGAAAATGACGAACTATTGACATTTACCATAATATTTTACATATGAAATATCAGCGATTTTCATTTCCAAGCCAAATCTGACGCCGTTTTTTATTTAATCATATAATATTATATTAAATTATTTAATGATAGAAAATCCATATTATTAACGTACTGTACCCAAAATCCGTAATCTGCGCATTAATCCGTAGTTCTGGCAACACTGTCTCCGCCAACCACCCACTCTGTCGACTGAAAGCAGAACTACGGTACAGTATTCTTCACCCGCTGCACTTTAAACGACTATCAGCGCGCAGCGGCGCAGAGCTAAACTAAATCGCGGACAGGTTGTCTAGCGGTGACGGCATCGCGAGCTACATCTCGGACAGGTTTTGTGCCACGAAATCGCCCATAAGGTTGCGCATCTTTTTGTTTCTTCAATCAACGATGTTATACCATTTCAAAAAATATTGTTATAATATGTTAGTACCTGATTGGATGCCAAATCCAACGAAGTAAGCGACGAATGACTCGAATGGATTTCGGCGCTTAAAAACCTCTTACTGTCCTCGTTAGATGGCACAGATAAAACTCCATCCCAACTCTTCTGCACTGATGCCAGCTCATTATTTCTGTCCCGAGATTTCGATCTTTGGTTGGAGTTTTTTCGGTTCCATGGTAAGAGCGATTTTCCACGCCTATCTTCGGCGTTGCTCAGAGATTTTTTGAGTTTTGAAGGTGTGTTAGAGATGGCATAAACTGGATTTTGGATGGACAGTCTATAAATTAAGACACATCGTATATATTTCATGTTTTAAATAAATGAACCAGTACCTTATGTCGAATTTAGGTGTGTAGCCTTGTCCAGCCAGACACTGTTTATAAAGCTGACACTTCAAGAACCTCGGGTAGCTGTCAAATTTCATCAAATTGAAAATCTGCTTCTGGGCGATGTCAAACAAGTCCGGCCTACCCTCAACGAGCCCTTGTTCGGCAGTTTGGCGGCCTTGGGCGTCCACGTTGACAGCTTCGGGAGCTCCTGTGCCTAGGTGCTGCCGGAAAATGCGCTCGGCCTCTGCTATTCTTTCCTGGTGCGATTTTAGACGGCGGTAGCGCTCGCAAGCCGTCCAGAAGTAGATGTTCTCGGCACTGAATTCCTTCTTTAAAAACTCCTGCAACAAAAAGGCACATCTCTTAAAAAAGATCATGTGTCTTAACCAGGGTTGGCAGTTGGCATGATTTAAAACATGATTTAAATTGTGATTTAAATCAAGTGATTTTTTTATATGCAAAAATACTAATATTAATCATATTAGTATGCATTATGGTGCACAAAAAAAATATTAATATTAAGAGGTGCCTCATCGTAATTTTCTATTTCTCATTTAAATAACATGGGAAAACAAATTATTTTATTGCGTTCTAATAAATAAGCGTTTAAAAATCAATACATATTCTTGTAGGAAATTAAACAGCCTTCAAAAAAGGTCTGATATGAATTTTCATTTAATCGACTCGTTTGAAAGTTATTGAAGGTTAAAATTCAACTTCAAATCGTATATAATAACATTTTTTACACAATTTTTTATATTTTATCACGAAATATTGGCTCATAAACATAAACTATCATATTTTCTCACGAAATAATGGCTCAAATACATAAAATATCATATTTTATGTTTTAGAGCCATTTCGTGAATAAAAAAATTGTGGAATTATCATATTATACGATTTGAAGTTGAATTTTAACTTTCAATAACTTTCAAATAAGTGGATTAAATGAAAATTCATATCAGACATTTTTTGAAGACCGCTCAATTTCCTACAAAAATATATGTTGATTTTTACAAAACGCTGATTTGTTAGAACGCAATAAAATTCCAAAGAAAAAGAATGTGTTTCTGCGTGCTATTTAAATGGGAAATAGAAAATCACAATGAGGCACCACTTAATATTAATCGATATTAATATTAAAAGCTCAAACTTTAGCAGAATTTCTTTGATCATCCTGAACAATATTTTCACGGTAACTAAAAAAGAAAAACATTTTTCTTTGGTGCACCCTAGTATGCATCACTGATAATAATTCTAGAAAAACGTACACTACTTTAAATACCTACTTCTCTTTTTTACAGTTATTTTCTAGTAAAAAGTAAAAATAGACAACTAGAGGTTTTAAACTAATAGAGAACTGACTAATAAAAAAAATACAAACAGATACCTAACTAGAATTAAATTTCAGAGGCTAAATAATAAAATCAAAAATAATTATTTTTTAATTATTTTTGTTATAATATATAGTTAAAGTATATTATAAAATAGTTAATGTTCAAAAACGGATCTGTCAAATTTTAATAATATTAACAACATTAGATGTTGAAAACCAGTGAATAAAAACAAATTATGAAATCCGGTGTAACTGTTCTTTTTTCTCACGTACAGCAGTGAATTCCTTATCGTTTCCAACTATAAACAAAGATAGGTATATAGCGGAAAATGTAGAACTGTGGGAACGAAATTTGTACCGCAACTAGTGTCAATTGAATAGCCTGTCCCTTTAAAGCGATCCGCGTAAATATGGACACGTTACTAAGAATGGGCATAGATTTTACTAAGAAGAAATACGAAAATAAAAACACATATCAACTTATTTTACTGAGAAATAGCTCCGCTCTAGTTTTTATTGTTGTTTTTAATTTTTAAACTGGTTCTCTGTTAATTGGTCGTATACGCTAAAATTGAGCCAGAAATAGCACCATACGTTTTAGTCTCGGTGAAGTCATTCTCCACAAATGCTATTTCGTTTTTAATTTTAATTGTTTTTTATACTAAGGAAACAGTACAGGATCGTCAAAAGAATAAAAATAAATTCATCTGATACTACTATTAAAATAAATAGTGCTGTACAAAATAAAATTAACTAATAAAAAATAATAAACTAAAAATAAATATTTGGAGATATTGAAAGAAAATATGTAACTGTAAAATTTTTCTGCATTCGATGTACAGTTTTTACTTTGTTTATTTTCTGATTTGTCTGATTTCTTTTGTGACACTAACGAGTATTTGCTTATAATTACGACACTTTTCTGCGTTTGTTAAACAAAGAATTTTTTAACATTCCTTTTCTCTTTTTTGTGAAACTGTTATTATTTATCAGCGAAACCTCTTCCTCCTTTTCATTTATATCGTTAGATTTTGTTTTTTTTTTCAAGTACGCTTTGAATAACATCATCCGATTTTCTTTTTTTATCAGATTTCCTTCATTTTTATGTTTTGAAATATTTAAACTGAACAACCGAACTACCGAACTACGGACTACAAAACTACGAACTACCGAGGAACCGAACTACGAACTATCGAACAACCGGACTAGGAACTACCGAAGTACCGAATTATCGAACTACAATCCAACAAACAAACGAAGTGCCGAACTCCTGAACTACCGAAGTACCGAATTATCCGTAATTTTATAGCCTATGTGTTATTCTGATATAACTATAGTATAAGCTATATTATTGTAAATTTAATTTATTATAATTATCATTAAAATCCATTCAGTAGTTTTTGCGTGAAATAGTAACAAAGATCTATACATCCATACATCCAAACAAACTTTCGCGTTTATAATATTAGTAAGGATTGCCAAACAATATAAGAATATACACAAATTATTAATCATCCAACAAAATTATACATTTGCCAAACATTAAGAATACACACAAATTAATCTTGTTTATTATGCGAACACCTCTCTATTAAGACACGTCTTATGTTATTAAGTTAAGGGGTTCAGTTACTTCAAGTGCTATCGCTGTTTCGGTGTCGATTTGCCATGTCGAGGTCGCGACAGCCAATGTTAATTTTACATAAAAATTATCCCAGTAGTATTTCCGATACTAAAAACTAGGGCTGTAACGAGAGCTGTTTTTTAACTTGACCGAGTACCGAGTACTCGGCTAAAGGTAATGGCCGAGTCCTAGTACTCGGCTGCCGAGTAGTGGAATTGTCGGGTTTTTAGTAGTCTTAACAGGTTATGCGACCTTTATAAATATAGGTATACTAATTATACTATACACCATAACATAATAATATTATATTTTATAAATAATATAAATATAAATATATAATTTAACATTAAAGAAAGCTAGTTAAAATTCCCGGAATTCCTCGGCTTTAAACCAATGATCTTATTTGCTTTGCTTATGATTAGCGAGCGGCTGGGATTCCCCGACTACAAACCAATGACCTGGTTTGTTTTACTTATGGAGATATTGTTTTATTCTGTGGTTCCCCATGCAAACTGATATTTCTAATATGCTGGATTCTGAATTCATTCTTTTAAGGTGCGGTGGCGACGTTGATTTTATTTTAAGCTAATCTTATATGTGTAACTTAAAAGTGAAAAATAATTCAAACAATTAATAATACCCTTTAAAGTTATATTAAAATGAGTGACAGTGCTGACCTCTTTTAAGTATTAAATTATTATTTCACTGTGTTCGTGTTATTACTTATACTTATTATTATTACTTTGCTAAAATACATTAATTAAAGTTATGAATGAATAACTTTTTGTTTATTTTATTATTTGCCACTGTGAGTCTCATTTCTATCTGTTTTGGACATGCATAAATGGATTGTTTCTATTACTATACTTTACTCGGCCTACTCGGCCGAGTAAGGCCGAGCACCAAGCACATATTACTCGGTTAAAATTCTGGCCGAGCACCGAACTACTCGGTACTCGGTGCAGCCCTACTAAAAACTAAAGATTTTATAGTTAAATTTAACTTGATTTTACTAAATGTCATGGTACAGTCTCCTAAATAAGTGTAAGTATTTTAACTGGTTCCAACAAAAGGTTGAAAATTTTACATTTATCTTGATACTTTCTGGTAAATTTAAAAAAAAAATCGCAGTACTATTAGATACCGTAATTCTATTCTCCTGAAATTTCTGCATTACCCTAGGGTTGCCAGATTGTTATAGCTTATAGATGTGCAAGATTCCTCAGAAAAAGTATCCGAAACACAAGTTATAAGATAAGATACTGCCAAGCAAAGTATTTGAGATATCAGATACCAGATACTTTTGGAAAAAGTGTTTGAAGTACTATATATAGAATATGTATTTTTTTAAATACTTTTATTAAAATGAAATACACAATACATAGGTGTGCAGCGACATCTGTCGGCAGAGCATAAAATCCACTATGCCTGTTAACATTGTTAAGTTAAGAAACCTGGCAAATTGAGTAGCGCGCCATCTCCTAGACTTATGTGGAAAATCTAGATGTTCTTTCCAGTATTTTTTTTAAGAACGGAAAGAAGAATGTTACAGAAAATTTCCGAAAGTTCTAGAAACAGCCGCTACAGTATATAAAGCGCTTACCGTGCTCAACCGGGCAGTCAGTTTTGAATTGTGAACAGTGACAAATTGGCGGAGGTGACTAGGAAATCGTAGTTGTATTGTTAGTTGCATAGTTGTGTGTTGTAATTTGTAATAAGTACAAATTATGTATATGTCCGGTTAATGTCGACATTAACATGTTAATGTTTGGGTTAGGTTATGTTTTTGGTGGTTTTGTTGTGTGTTATTCTCGAGATTAACCGGGTAATGTCGACATTAACCGAACATCGGACCTTAACCGTAACATATACATATAGTGAACAAATAAATCCGTTAAGTATTTTATCGTGTTTAACAATTCTTTTTGAAAGAAACCATTGTTTTATTTTTATGGTTTATTTAGCTTATGACATTAATAATAACTGAAGGGTCCAGGGAAAAAACATGATAAGCCCCATTTCACTGATTTTACAGGACAGCACTGGACGGCTGGTAGTTATCAGGTTCTTGCCGTGTATTCCACATTTTACTATTTTTATCGGCATATATCACAGAATTTAACAACTTATTGCTCTGCAGAGTTTATACATTTTGTAGGGACCAATTAGACCTACTATAATACTGTAAAATCCTAAAATTAAGAAATTGGCGCTTATCAAGTTTTTCCCCTGGACCCTTCAATTATGAACAAGAATCGTGTAAATCTGAGAAAATATATTTGACTTTTTTTATTTATTTTATTTGGCAAATTTAGACTGAAGTAAACCTAGTTCTCCAAACACAGTGTCGCTTATTTTTCTTAGATGTGGTGTCATAATTATTCCTTCAAAAGAAAAGAGTCGCACCACGTGAGCGGAATTCGGCAAACAGGTGTTATATTTTAGAGATATTTTTTTTAATTGTAGGATACAAATTAAAATCTTTAAGCTGATGTCTTTAATATTTAAATATTGCACTGTTTTAAAGTCAAGTGCGCGACATGCTTGGGGTGTATGTAGTATGTAGCTTCAAAAAGAAACATGGACATCCTGTATAGACGATATTTACATTTAGTTTAAGGGCCTCAAAAATAAATTGCAATAATTACATTTGAATCTATTTTTAAAGTGAAATCATACTTCATTTGAGTTGTTATTCGATTTAATGGATTTCACAAGTAAACATCAATAAATAAACAAATATAAACAAACCACTAAAATAAAACTAGTACTAAATTGCAGCTATCTAAACGAGTATGGCGACCATAAAAATAGATTTAATGTTCCAATGGTAATAAAAACAATCTGATAATGGATTTGACCACAATGCACATACCCTATGATCGAAAAAAAGACATCATAGTAGCATTTGAGACGATAATTTCAGAAGCACTACACATAATAATAATAATAATATGAAAAAGGGTGTTTTACTTACAGCAAAAGCATGGAGGCCAACTACGTCTTCCAACAACTTTTCGAAAGAAGTAGACCAGGTTGCTGGTCCTTCTGTAGTCCCATTACCATCAATACCACCAGCGCCATGTTGGTCACACTGAAAAAAAAACATAAAATGTCAACTTCTCTCTTTTCTCAATTTTCACTGAAATGTTTAACTTTAAAAATGTTGCTGGAGCAAATCGATAACATGTTTTCTATATTTAAACACCCTAATGACACCTACCGGACAAATATGCACCATATACGTATATATGTATATTCCGAACAATATATTTCAGTATAAAATTGTATATAAAGCGACGAAGAATGGTTAAAACAACTGACAGGCGGGTTGCGCTAAATTTAGAGGCCGAAACAATTGACGCTAGCTATTTTAAAACAATTGAATGTGTTCCACCGTGTGCCATCCATGGCTTTCTATACTCGGCTGCAGACGAAACAATAAAGAATCGTAAAAGGAAAATCACGATAGTCGTGTAAATAATGTATTTACCAATCCGTAACAGTTCTTTTTACTGGTTAGGGTCCAATAAAAATTGGTGTTATGGTTTAAAAATAAATTTTAAGGGCATATGACCGGAAAATTTTGTTACGCTTGGTAAATATGCCAATCGAGTACCTTACATAAATGCTAATTTTCTGTAAGAATTAAGTTTTAGTTATCTGCTGATAATGATACAACAGAGTTAGCTAAACTGGTCTAGAATTTAAAAGACAAACTGTTGTACACTTGCTATACCGGGTGCGTCTCAAAAGTGGCTAACCCGTATAACTTTTTTATTTTTACAGATAAAAAAAACAGATTTGGTATGTTAGTATATGACATAAATTAGGATTGATTGACGTATTCAATTGTTTTTGGCCACTTACTGTTTCACCGAAAATTACTACAACTTTTGAGTTTTAAATGGCACGGTATTTTTGTACTTTATTCGATAGAAAATAACACTCTGAATAGAATGTATATATTGAATATCATATGTCAACTTTTGACATTTTCGCTTAAAAAATAGTAGGTATTTTAAATTTCAAGATAGAGAGAACCATGGCAGTGTTAAAAACACTAATTTTTAATCAAGGAGGCTTGGAAAAATCGATTTGATCGTCTAATGTTTTTCGTGTCTTGATCTGGCCGGTTAAAAGATGCCCAAATTGTATTTTTAATCATATCTCAATTTTTTCAAATGGAACAAAGATGACTCATTAGCATATTTGGAAAAAGCATTTTTTGCGAATAATTTGGTACCATACGCTTGGTATTTCGAGTCAAATTGTCGATATGAACCACATGTTAGAATTTCAAATAAACGATATGCAAAAATGTCAAAAGTTGACATATGATATGTCATTCTATTCAGAATGTCATTGTCTATCGAACAAAGTAAAAAAATACCGAGGGTATAATTTAAAAATCAAAAGTTGTAGTCATTTCCGGTGAAACAGGAAGTGACCAAAAATAATTGAATACGTCCTAATTACTTTTAAGTCAAATACATACCAAATGCCGATTTACAAAGCTTGTTTTTTTTTATCTGAAAATATAAAAAACTTATAGGGGGTGAGCCACTTTTGAGACGCACCCGGTATTTAATAACTTGAAAAAAAATCATTGTAAATTTCAGTCTCATTAATCTATTTTCAGTTTTCAGTCGTAAATAGTATCTTCTTTGTTTAGTATAATTCCTTATATTAGTCATTCTGATATAATTGCAGATGCAAATTTGTAATATTATTTTTGTTTATCAACATGAATGGTTGTTTTAATGTGTCATATATTAGCTTACTTCGGGTTTTCATAACCGATTCTGGACTATCATAGAACTCTACAGCGCATGCACAGATGGAAATATTGCCACATATTTCCTTCTACGCAATTTACGCAGGCTTCTTCGTATCTATCCCAGCTCTAGGACTGATCAGAATCAGTAATGAGAAAGTATTTTCTTATTACTTTTTAAAAAGTTTATTCATGTATCCCAACCCTCCATGAATTTTCTTATTCCTTGATACTATATATTGAATATGGTTAAGTTCTTTTTGGGTTTGAGCTCTGTTTTCAGGACTCTGTAAAAATTATAAATATTTGAGCTACAGTTCCGGGAGCTAGAGAACTTTATTTTAGTAAATTTATTAATATTTTTGGATTTTTTTACAATTTCGAAAATCTTCAATATTATTCGAGCTATTCAAAAAAACCAAAAAAAACTCCCAATTTTTTTTCACTTAATTGTTAATAACTTTAGTAATTTTTTTCAGCGCCTTTTCGGATTATTTTAAACTTTCTAGGTGACAATACGAATCGAATGACACCACATTCGTAATTTTCGGAGGATATTGAAAAATTTTACTAAAAATGGTACGTATTGTGATTGTGAACCAGACTAAAACCCTGAAGTTAGCCATTGAGTAACAATCTTTAAACATAAAAATGTAGTATTTATAAAAAAAACTTTTAGGACAACTGAACTTAAATTCGTCAATATTAAACATGTTATAATAAACAAAAATACACTTACATAGAACACGGAATTATCCACTATCCTGGAGTATTCTCCCACCTCGGCGAAACACATAATGATAAAATCACTCTTAAACGAAGCCCTTTTTCTATGACAATCAAACATGACATTCCAGCAAAAATATCTCCGAAAATAAATGCGAAAAGTTTTTTTTTGTGAACACAGAGTAAGTTCTAAAGAAAACAACCACTTATATGAATAATGTCAAGTTTTAGGAAACATATAAAACAAATACACAACGGAAGTAGGCGGGTCTTCATACACAATTTTTCGATAAACTCTGCAAGCGAGGCACGCTAAAAATAATAACAATATTCGCGTTGCTGTATGAATAAAACATAGACAGAAGGGTAGGGAGGTAAGCGGAAAAAATAGTAGAAATGAAAAAACGAATCAATTTTAAATACACTGTAAAAAAATAATTACTGATTTTTACAGCCTGGCATATAAAAATCTAAGAATAATTTTGGATTAAGAACACATTTTTTCAGTGTAGATGACGTACAGGTATTATTAAATTACATTTAAAAACGTAAATTATAAAAATGCAATTATTTTTGATTTGATTTCGGAATAATATGCAACGGATTTGCAAATTCGTGAAAGCAAAACAGAACGTAAAGAATACAATCAACCTGCCCCAGAAATGTTTAGCAATAATTTATTGACTGCCTTTCTACGAAATCATTATAGATATTCCTTATTATCCAAGCGATATAGCAATTTGAAAACTTTTCTTTGTTATTCTGAATTAATTTGTAGTCTATAACAAGTTTCACAGTCTTAGAGATCCACATACACTACTTTCTACTGCGGTCTATGCGTGCCATAGACTATCATATACAAATTGATGTATATGATTAGTCTTGTGTCTTTATACAAGTCTATGGCAGGCACAATTTAAAAAAAAGTGATATAGTAGGTCCAGGGGAATAACTTGATAAGCGCCAATTTCTTAATTTTAGGATTACTATACTAACTACTCTTCTTCTTTATGTACCGTCTCCATATCGCAGGTTGCCTATCATCATTGCTATTTTGACCTTGGAAGCTGCGGCCCTAAATAAGGCAGATGACTTGACATTAAACCATTTTCGCAGGTTTCTGAGCCAGGATATTCTTCTCCTTCCAACAGATCTTTTTCCTACAACTTTTCCCTGGATTATGAGTTGCAAAATCTTATACCTTGGACCTCTCATGTTATGGCCGAGATATTGCAATTTTCTTTTTTTCACTTCCTTGAGGATCTCTACTCCCTTCCTCATTCTTCTCAGAACCTTCACGTTGGTTACATGTTCTGTCCATGGTATTCTCAACATCCTACGGTATGCCCACATCTCGAAGGCCTCCAGTTTCCGCTCGCAAAGCTCGTTGAGGGTTCACGCTTCCATACCATACAAAAGGACTGGGAATACATAACATTTGAGCATACGAGTTCTCAGATCTAGGCTCAAATCGCAGCTACAGAGCAGCTTCTTAATCTTCACAAAGGATGCACGGGCCTTTTCAATGCGAATCTTTATTTCTGAACAATAATCCGCGGTGCAGTCGACACTTGTACCCAGGTAGCCATACCTCTCTACTCTTTCGAGCTCCTCGCCTTCCGCGTACAGATGTTCACTGGGCACTCCAGTTTTAGTGACAATCATGTATTTGGTCTACTTAACAGTGAGTGTTAGACCATATTCTCGACTAGTTGTGATGACGTTATTTAACATATTCTGAAGGTCTTGCATGTTTTCGGCGAGAAGGACTGTATCGTCCGCGTAGCGCAAATTGATCAGTGACATGCCGTTAACTAGTATTCCACCAGCATCATTTTCGAGGGCTTTGTTAAAGATTTCCTCTGAGTAGACGTTGAAAAGGAGTGGTGAAAGAACACATCCCTGTCTAACTCCTCGTTTGGTATCCACTGCTCTCGTCAGTTCAGATTGGACGCGAATAGACGCACTTTGATTGAGGTACAGTATTACGAGGCATGTTTTTTAAGTAAGTACCGTTTTGCGATTCCGCCGCCGCAGCGCTACGGTCGGCGTTCCGCGCATGCGCGCTGTTTACCTACATCTCTTGTCTATGCACAGACGCCAGTACAGTCTGATTCTTCATTGTATACGTGGTTTATTGAGTGTTTAAGATGCCTCCGACAATCGTGAGCCCCGCCGATTGTGAAGTACGGGCTGTCATACGATTTCTTAGTGCTAAAGGCGTAAAACCGATCGCTATTCATCGTGAGATCTGTGAAGTTTACGGACAAAACATTATGAGTGATGGAATGGTAAGGAAATGGGTGAGAGCATTTAAAGATGGCCGCACAAATGTGCATGATGAAGAACGGAGTAGGCGTCCTTCGGTCGTTAATGAAGATTTGGTGCAGAAAGTGGACGAAAGGGTGAAAGAAAACAGACTCTTTACAATTTCATCATTGTGCGACTACTTTCCTCAATGTTCTCGTAGTGTTTTGTATCGCATTGTGACCGAGAACTTGAATTACCGGAAATTGTGTTCACGTTGGGTTCCGAAAATGTTGACGGATTGGCACAAAATCCAACGTTTAGGCAGTGCATTGACTTTCCTT